CATATATCTGAGATTTCGCTACCTGTGGAATCCTCTAGTGTTTTTATGGTTTCCTGTCTTATGTTTAAGTCCTTTATCCATTTTGAGTTTTATTTTTGTGTATGGTGTAAGTTGGTGGTCTAGTTTCATTTTCTTGCATATATCTGTCCAATTTTCCCAACACCATTTATTGAAGAGACTATCTTGGCTCCATTGCATGTTCTTGCCTCCTTTGTCAAATATTAATTGAGCATATTGGTTCGGGCCAATATACAAAATATTTAACAGTGTGGTTTTTAGAGATTGGGAGTGGAAGATAGTAGAGCAGCAGGGGTGAGGAGAAATGAATAGAAGATGTTAAAACTTTTACTTAGTATTATTTGATTTTTAAAAAATGAGTATATATTACATTAAAGTAAAAAATCAGATGCAAGAATTTAAAATTAATTACCCAAATTTTGAATGCATAACATCAAGACATTGGTTTAAGTGATTTTTTCCCTTACTGTTGCATGGATTGATTTCATAAAATAACTCAGTTAATTTAGCCATTTTATTTAGAACCAGTCACATCTAGAATTGGGTAAAAGCCAAAATGCCACTATTGCCAATAAAAAGTCAAGTAAAATATGTTCAATATTCTAAGAATAAATGATGGTTATCTGAAAACTGAAAAAGCTCTCTAACTTCCAAATACTTTAGTTAGGCATGATTATATTTGATATTTCTGATAAAAACAAATGGTAATATTTGTAAAAACAACATTGAATGTCTACAGCTGTGCTGCTGAGTATGGTAACCACCATCCAATTGTGATTATTCACTACTTGAATGTGGCCAGTTGGAATTGAAATATATTGTAAGTGTGAAACACACACTGGATTTTGAAGATTTTGTATGAATAAAACAATGTAAACTACCTTATTAACATAAACTTATTAAAAACTAGAGGCCTGGTGCACGAATTTGTGCAACAATGGAGTCCCTTGGCCTGGCCTGTAGGATCCGGCCGAAACCAGCTCTCTGACATCCCCCAAGGGGTCCCAAATTGTGAAAGGATGCAGACTAGGTTGAGGGACCCCGCCAGTGCATGATCGGGGCCAAGGAGGGATGTGGGCAATTGGCCAGCCGGGGAGGGACCACGGGAGGGCTCCAGGGCATGTCTAGCCATTCATGCTCAGTCCTGCTCAGCTGGACCCCAGCAGCAAGCTAACTTACCAGTTGGAGTGTCTTCCCCCTGGTGGTCAGTGCATGTTATAGCGACTGGTCGACCAGTTGACTACCTGCCCCCTGGTGGTCAGTGCACGTCATAGCGAGCGGTTGAGCTGCCTTAGCATATCATTAGCATATCACGCTTTGATTGGTTGAACAGATGACCAGATGACCGGGCACTTCGCAGATTAGGCTTTTATTATATAGGATGTTGATCACATGTTGAAATGATAATATTTTGAATGCATTGGGTTAAAGAAAATATAATATTAAAACTAAATTCAGTTAAAAAAACTTTTAAAATGTGGTTACTAGAAACTTTTAAATTACATTACATATTGGACAGGGTTGTGCTATAGTCCTAGATAACCTTCAAGCAGAATTTTCTGAAGTTATGGAATACTTTACTTGCATCCACTGCTCCAGTTTTGTGTGTGCATCCATCTCGTTGAAATGGAAACATCAGGTGAATTGATCCCATCAATTCAGTGGGTGGGACATTTAGTAAAGTAAGGATATAATGAAATCTAAGGAATTGAGAATAAAATTTAATTTGTTCTAATTTGCTTTTTTCGTGGGTAAAGATTTCTATGTGAAACCTGAGGTCACAAACTAGAGACTCTTTATGTATTAGGTATACCAAATGTTTTGAATAGCAGAATATTTCACCAAGACATCCTCATTTTAGGATCTTAACAAAAAATAACTCAGATCACATTCCCATGTGGGCAAGTAGCAGCTGCCTCCATTAGGTAGGAACAAGGTTTTGGTTTCACCATAGTCCCCACTAATCCCTGATGTCCTGTACACAGTTACTGGGCATTATTTTACTATCTTCGTTAAAGGTACAACTAGTTTTTTGTTTTGTTTTTTCATATCTCCTTTTGTCCATGGGTATAAAGGTGTAGCCTCTGGGTCTCCATTCTTCTATAGGCCTACCATCATTTTGATCCTTTTTATTTATTTATTTTAATTATATTTTATTGGCTTCAGAGAGGAAGGGAGAGGGAGAGAAACATCAGTGATGAAAGAGAATCGTTGGTCAGCTGCCTCATGTATGTCCCACATTGGGAATCAAGCCTGCTACCAAGAATCGACCACTGAACCTCACTGGCCAGGCTTGATTCTTTTTATTTTGGCTTACTAATTTAATTTCAGAAAGTAGGGAGTTTATTATGGAACTATTCTGACAGTAGATGCATAATAAATGTCAACTTTACTTATTTAGATAACAGTTAAATGGATGAGTTAAAATGCTCAGAAAATTATTGTTCTCTTTCTTAGAGATTATTACACATTCAGGTATTGAGCTGTTTTTTCAGTGGAAAACTAAGTATTCCCAAAATTTCAGCACATAAAAATAACTGAGGAAAATCCCAAATCAATTTATTCTTTTTAAAAAAATATTTTTTTTATTGATTTTAGAGAATAAGTAAGAGGGAAAAAGCGATGGGAAAGAGAGATAGAAACAACAATGATGGGAGAGAATCATTGATTGGCTGCCTCCTGCACACCTCACACTGGGGATCAAGCTGGCAACCTGGGCATGTGCCCTGACCAGGAATCGAACCATGACCTTGTGGTTCATAGGTCAACACTCAACCACGGAGCCACGCCAGCCAGGCCAATTTATTCTTTAATGCAGTGGCGACAAGGTATCATCAGATACAGAAGTCACTCTTGACATGACTCAACCTATAAAACTGAATAGAAAATCTGAACCAGTGAAATGGCAAGAAAGTTGCAACTTTTCAAGTATAGATAGTGTCACAAAACAAGAAGGTCTTGAGGGATAGGTCAATAGTATGTAATTGATGTACTTCAGTCAGCAAAATGAATAATTTCATTCATTTATTTTTTCACTTATTCATGAAATAAATATTTATTAAGTGCCTACTATGGCCAGACACGGTTCTTGGTCCTGCGATATAGCAGGGACCTCACACATGGAAGTCCTCAGTTTCAGGAAGCTTGTATTTGAGGTGGGAGGAAAGAGGCAGAAAATACACATATAAGTAAATAAAATAAAAATAAGCAAATAATATATGACATTTTATAATTTTCACCTGCAAGAGCAGGAGATGTTGTTTTTTTATATAAGGACGGCCTGGGAAGACTCTCTGACACAGGGACGGTCCATATAACAGAGCCCTAAAGGAAGTGTGTAAATGAGAAGCGGTACCCAGGGGAGATGGATTTTGGACAGGGAGAATGTAAGGGCAAAGGCCCTGAGGCTAGACCTGCTGCATGTGTTTAAGGAACAGAAACGCGTGTGACTGGAGCAGAGGACGTGAGGGCAAGAGTAGAGTATGAGGCCAAATAAAGGAAGGAGGGCTTCGTCGGTCACGTGGGGCCTGGAGACCAGCATGTGAACTTGGCTTTCACTCTGTGTGAGATGAAAAGCTGCTAAAGGAGTTTGAGAGACAGAGTGCTGTTACTTGACTTCCGTTTTAGCGCATTGTGGGTAGCTCAACCAGGTAAAAGATGCTTATTTATATAACCTACATGAGGCCTGTATTAGGTTTCTTTTGCTGCTGGAACAAATTACCACAAAGTTGGTGGTGACTTAAGTCAACATAAATGTCTGAACTTCAGTTCTGCAGTTAGAAAACTGACACGGGTCTCACTGGCTAAAATCAAGGTACTGGCATATCTGCGTTTTCTCCTCCAGTCTCTAGGGTCATGCCCATTTCCTTGCCTTTTCCAGCATCCAGTGGCCACACACATTCCTAGTTAGTCACACCTTTCTCCGTGTTAAAAACCAGATTCCTCAGTTAGTCACACTTTCCTTCGCGTTAAAAACCAGATTCCTCAGTTAATCACACCTTCCTCCATGTTAAAAACCAGCTTCCTCAGTTAATCACACCTTCCTCCATGTTAAAAACCAGATTCCTCGATTAGTCACACCTTCCTCCGTGTTAAAAACCAGACAGTTTGCATCTTTCCGATCATTCTTCACATCTCCTTCTGACTCTCTTTTCTGCTTCCTCTTTGCTTTTAAGGACCCTATGGTTACATTGGGGTCACCCAGATCATTCAGGATAATCTCCCATCTCAAGATCATCACATCTGCAAGGTCCCTTTTCAGATCATTTCTGAAACAGAAAGGATGTATTGTGACCTTAAGCACATGTGTAGAAGCAGAAGAGAATTTGTTGAATCAGGAAAGAGGATGATGAAAATACTTATAACTGGAGAGAGGTTTGCAACCATCTTTAAAAGAGATTCATGAAATAACTTAGAGGATCTTTGGATGGAGAAAAAAAGAAAAAGAAAAAAGAAAGACGCATTAATTCTCCAGTACTTCAGGGCTAGAGGATGCCATCAGGCAGAAAGGTGGCGGTGTCAGCAGAAGGAAGCTGTGTGCCCTGGAATGATAAATGAAGGGAGGTGGGCGGGGCACTGACAGTGCGGGTGTCCTTTCTCCTCCTGGATGCATCACACCTCCCATGAGGCTGGGAGTGTCTGGGGTGGGAGAGAAGAAGCATGAAACCCTTATTCATCAATGTGGAAGAGCATGTGTGTATGCTCTTACTGTGAATGCCTCTATTATTTATTTTTTGGGGGGAGGTAAAAAATTCTATGTAATTTTAATAATTTTTTCCCAAACTAAAGGAAATATACATTTTAATAGAAGTCACTTATCAAGTATAACAGAGAGATCTGCTTCTTCTTACAAGGCCACAGTCCTATCAGTAATGGGCCCCACCCCTATAACCTCATCTAACCGTAATTACTGTACCTCCTAAAGACTGTCTCCAGCTACAGTCACATTGGAGGTTAGAATTTCAATATAAGAACTTTGGGGGGACACAATTCAGCCCATAGCATTCTGCCCGAATTCAAGGGCCTTGATTCAAACGTAATCTCATTCAGAATCACGCTCACAGGCATGTCCACAAGAATGGCCACATGTCTGGGCACCTTGTGGTCCAGTCAGACGGACACACAGAATTAACGCTCACAGTGTCTGACCATGGAGTCTGTGTGTCCTGCCAGCATCCGTGAAACTGGGCGGCCTAACCTGTTAGCTGGAGATTAGGCTAAGGCCTCAGATCCTTCACAGTTCTTATTGATCCTACTACTGGTAGGCCTCCTCCGCTGATTTTATGACTTGTAATAAAACAGGAACTCTAAGTATTTATTGCACGTTTTCTTTGTGGTTTTAAAATATGAAAGAGGTCGGGAAGCATTGCAAAAACCCCTATAAAAGTAACATTTTGTTTTTCCTTGAAGATGTTCTAGCTTTTCCAGATTTTGTCATCGAAAATGGCAGCCCTGTTCTGGAGAATGTCTCCGAACATACACGGGTTGCCGTAATCACTGTGTCTGTCTCACCTCCCGCTTCTCTGGTTGGAGACCCTGTTATCGTTAATGCCGACCCTGTGGTCCATCCATTCGTGCTGTCTCGTCGATCCACACATCAGTGGGAAGTAAGTATTGAGGCAAACAGTATCATTACTCGGTACCACAAGGGTTCTAAAATGAAACTGCCGTCCTTGCCCTTCTTACCTTCTACTCATATTGTTTAGCTCCCACTCATTGGGACCCCAGGATGTTCCAGACCCTCTAAAAATTCTTGAGGATATCAAGATGCATTTATGTTACAGAGATCTATTGAGGGCCTCCTCGGACACAGGCGAGTCCCTGGGGCTCTCCTGGTGGAACTCCGTCCTCACCCTCATGGCGTTTACTGGTTCACAGGGAGCTCTACTAATAAATTGAACACGCACACAAGTATAAAAGTGTGAGTGTGATAAGAGCCATGAAAGAAAGGCCTGCAGGTGTGTGAATGCACCTAAGGGGGACATTGGACCTATCAGGCTTTCCTAAGGAAGAGCTACATGATAAGCACTCTTCAGAATGAATAGGAATTGAATAGATGAAGAGAGAGACAGAGAGAACTCCAGGTCGAGCATGTGCAAAGGCCTTGTGGCAAGGAGTGTCGTGAGGTGATGAGACCAAGAGGAGGCCAAAGTGGCCGGAGCTGATGGGGAAGTGTGGTGAGAGATTAGGCTGTGAAGGAGTGGCGAGGCAGAGCCCGCAGGGCTAGCCTTGTGAGGAAGTTCCGT